TAATTATTGTATTACGCATCAGTAAGCATACTGCGCGAACGGAAATACCTAAGACGTGTGACAAATTAAATACGTACGTACGTTATAAATTATAATGATTTACTGCGTTCCGCGTGGTGTTTAATGTTTAATCGGCCGAACCAATTCCCGACGCTGCGTCTGTTGTTATTCAAGAGTCAYGATATTTTTTTCTTTTTTAAACTGCACTCAGAATACAATAGGTACATTGCAAAATCGTTTACAGTCTTGACAAAAATAAAGGATTTTTATGGTTTTTTTTTTTATCAAGTCCTATAACAATATTATGCAGTCGATACTTTTGTCAAATCTGCAGCAGCAGCATCGTGCACTTTTTATTTAAATGGACGCGAACGTCTATAACGTAATATAAAAAATTGTTGCCCGGTCGGGAAGTACGCGTAAATAATTAATTTACCTTCTAAAATAATTTTAGAATGAACTGTTCGCATAGCGAAAAAACACTTCGTTCGTTCGTTCTATATACTTATAAACCTAGAAACTAGTTTATTTATAGTCAATCCATTTTTCATGCGTCCTCGTTGTACGCGTACCATAATACTTCGGCCATACTACCGCACATTTCTTCCCCATCGGACGACTCGTATTATTGTCTCAGTGTTTATTGCGGGTACCATCTAGGTTTGTATTTTCGTTTAATATATTATCATTTTAATCAAATATTTGTTGTCTAAGTATACAGCGAAGAAACTTTTATAAAAGAATCAATAATTCCGAMAAAMAGTTTCTCAAAATAATTTTGATAACTGGGTCACGAGTGTCGTTTCTGGTTTTAAATAATATTAACATTGTTCTAATGTTATACAAAGTGAATTACAATTTAAATTCGAATTTTTTTTCAAATCCGGAACAATTGAAAATTATTTTTTAATTACCTTGTATAATGTATAAGTATCCTGTTAATATAGTTTCGCTCTATTATGTATTTTGTGTTTATAAGATTAATATGCCAATCACTGAAACGATCGCCACACATACTACTATACTAGTTAGATTGATCCGGATTARGGAATAATAATATACAATTCTATATATAATTTATATATGTATACTGAATTATATGATGTTGCAATAAATAATAATCTAA